GGAATGAATTATCTCCATTAACTTCATCATGCTCACTTAATTACATGCTTGTTATTGTATTTACACCTTGTTAGATACCGCTGAAGCTGATCCAGTGGCTGGCCGGGAATTGGAAGCGTCTGTCATGGGGCAGTTGGAGCGCGTTTTGTAGGAAATGCTATTTATTTTAAATGCTCCACCTGCTGGGAGCCGAGGTTAGTCAGCAGCACTGAGATGAATTGGGAAACGGGGTGTAAAAAGAAATAATGTGCTTCTGACAGGCTCCGTGGCTTTTAAGTTGCTCTCATTCAGCCACTTCACAAAAAATTATTTTATTCCATCTCTCAGTGATGATGACATGATTGCTTTTGGGTAATCATTTACCATTCTGATTTTATTTTTTGAAGTAAATTGTCTGAAGTAATAGGTTCTTGGAATTACAGCGTGCCTTGCTTTTTTCTTAGAACTTTATTTAAGCTTGTCTTCCAGCATTTAACCCGAGTCCCCTCTTTCGTTTGATCTTCTAACTTTATTTATACAACAGTGCTTAATGATCCTGCACAATGTGTTTTTTTCCTTCTCTGCACCCCCCAAAAAAAAATTCTGTCCAGTATGGTTGACAGTACTTTTTATAACCTCAGCAAGGGGGCTGCATGGGCAATTTTCTTCCGACATGACAAATACAAACACCCAAAACCCAACCCTGATAGAATCACTTCATCCAGTTGAAAGGAAATTTTTGATCTCTTTCAAGGTGACTCTTTCTCCACTGAAACGTGGTAAGGGGCATGACTCTCACCTTCTTATTTTTCACTGTAGACATGGCATTCTTTACATCGCCTTGCCCCGTCTCCTCCCTTCTCACATTGGAGGCCTCTGCTCTTTCCCAAACTTCCACTGTCTAGCCCTTCCTGGTGGTTTGGCCCCGAAGCACCTCCATTTGCTTCAAGTGGGAAGGGTCACTGTTCACCACCACCAGGCTGCAGCAAGCCTGTGTTTATTGAACATGAATCAGACCAATGATGGAGAGAATTATAATCACACTTCTAAATACTTGTCAGATCAGCCTAGTAGAGCACTTGAGCTAAACCATGGATATTTTATTCCATTTGAAGGCTGTATTTTGGTATCAACAAAAAAGAAGAAAAAAAATAAAACTGAAGATAATTATTTATAAGTAGGAATGGAACTGAATAGTGGACTAACAGAGAGACTCTTCAGCCCTTTAAAAATATTTTAGTGTGTAAGACATGATTTAATGGGCCAGAATGGTCCTCTAGGCATTGGCTAGTCGATAAACACATTGTTCACTGTGTGTGCCTGGCATCGTGCCTTGTGAATTGTTTTTCTAAATAAGAATGGACTCAAAGATGTTGATTTTTTTATTTCTTGTTTTGATTTAGATATGTTTACATACTTGGCATTTGATTTGGAGCCCAAAATGCCTTTGTCTTTGAAATATGGGTGTCATTTGAGATCTTGTAGATACCTCTCCTGGCCCGAGACTCCATTATAGACTGATATTCAGGAAAAAAGGCAGCCAGGCCAGAGGCCCCAACAGCTCCCTATACTTCCGATGGCTCTAAATCATAGAAAGTGAAGAGGGGTGTGGTGTAGTTTTCTCTCAAAATTCCCAAAGCCTCTTGCATTCTACCCCTGACGACAAAGCTCATGTAGCACTGAGGGAGGGAGGCTATGGATTAGAAAAGGTGGGAGAGCTGAGAACTGTATGGTGGGAAGCCATGCAATTAAAAAACTGACTGAAATTATTACCTGATTTCATAATTGACAGAATATTTAATTCAGATATAGTAAATTGACACACCTCTACACAGAGACAATTATGACTGACTGTATAACACCTGACAGAATCAATTATAACTGACTGTTGTTTGATACCTTTGCACGGAAATAAATGAAACAGACATTTAGAACAGAGACGGCTGCTGCCTGTGTGCCTAAGCCTGCCTTAATTAAAATAAAATAACCAGTAGGCGATGTTAAAATGTCTTTGCCTCATGGTTTCTAGTTCAGTGTGTTTCTTTAAGTCCAAAATGAGTTTTATAAAGAGTAAAGCTTAAAAGGAATCTTTGGTTTACTGACATGAAACTAAAACGTGAAGTAGAGATAGTTTCCTTAGCTGATAGAATACTCCATTTTTTACAAATAGCATTTTGTTGGATCAGATGACTTTTAAATAAGTCAACTTGCATGATTTTGAGGTTTTGGATTCTGATTGGTAAAACATAACTTTGAAATTAGCTGTTCATTTTTTTGTCTGATAAAATATTTTGTGAATAATTATTATCTAGGCTACCTTTTTGTCATTGTTTTCATGGGGTTTAGGGACAGAATATTTTTGATAATTACTATGTAACCATAAGGAAGCTGAGAATGTAGAAAGGAGCAGAGTAAGTAAACATTAGATACACGATCCTCAAAGGTTATTTATAGTAAAGAATAAGAAAAGGAGATGAGCTTTGATGGTACATTAAGATGAGTGATTTCCACGTGATAGTTCAAGTCACTAGGGTATATTTCACTGGTGTGTTTGTGTGTGGGAAGAGCACTTCCTTATCTTCCTTCGAAGTTTGGATTTTCAGTGCTAGTGGTCGAGCCAGCAACAGACACAGCCAGTGGTATCTTTGTGGCCCCTGGTGGGATGCCTACAGATCTCTGCCTCTTGCCTCATGGCCTATTGGAATCTTATCAGTGTTGTCCTCGGGTGCTGAACTGCAGCTCCTGTGGGGGTGGCATCTTTACCAGTAGGCTGCCTCCAAAAATCAGAGCAAGGGAGAGAGTCAGAGTTTTACTGGCCACGTTAACTGGCTTTCACCATTTAACATCTGTATTTTCTCCTGAGTCCTAAAGTGGTGGGTGTAGTATTGATGGAAACAGGGTAACAGTTTAATGTGACGCCTAACGTGGGTGGCCCAGGTGCCTAAAGAGGAAAGAGGGAAGAGGAAAACCACGAGAAGGGATGACTTCTTGCCCTCCCAGCCTCTGCCCGTGATGTGGCCTGTGACAGCTCATCCAGTTCTGTTTCCTAGAAGACCTTCCATACATTATTGATTACATTCTCATTGGGGAAGCAAGTGGGAGCTTTTATCTGCATCTCTCACCAGCGTGGAATGGTGCCTGGGCTGTATTGACCGGCTATGGGATATGCTAGCGGTCACAGTTGTCTTTTACGAAGAAGAGCACCGAGTGACGCTGGTTGTCATTCTAGCTCTGCTGTGTGGCAGCGTAAATAGTCCCCTTTCTAACCAACCTGGTGGGAAAAGTCAATATCCCATCAGCAGAGGAGGTAAACACATCAGGAGCTGTGTCCCCTCTCTTCCTCCCCTGCTCCTTATTACCGCAGCTCTTTAAATGTGCTCTCCCCAGTCATCAGATGCATTTGTGTCATTCACATGCACAGGGTTGCCAGCCTGCAGCTCTGGCCTGCCGGGAGGCAGCCTTGGGGCCTTTGTTGTGTATTCTCAGACTCCGATAATTAGAACTTTCAAATTGTCTTTCTATAGTCCCTTAATGATGCATATCTCTCTCTCTCTCTCTCTCTCTCTCTCTCTCTCCTCCCCTTCCTCTCTTTTTCCACCCCCTTTGGGCATTTAAATCCTCTACAAAACTTTTTGTTGTTGTTTTTGGAAAGGCATTGATGTAATTTAGAAAAGGTTGTGGAGAACAAATGTGAATGTGTAACTAAGGAACAAAAATCTTGACCAAGTTTTCATTTTCCGGGGTTTTGTAGACTTCAGTGGGGTTTTGCTTTCTGTGATTGACATCCTGTCCCTTCTGTGTTTCCTTCCCAATCCTTTCCTATTCCAAGGTGCTGGGCCACTTCCGCCACCCCCCCACCCCCACCCTCAGGCACCTTGGCACAGTGTCCAGGGCCCTCACTTCCAGAACAGCTGATTTCTGGGGCCTACCTTTCTCTATTCAGGAGCATTGGATTGGGGGAAAGGGGTCAGAAGTGAAACTCAACTCCAAGTATGGACTGGGGGTTCTGGCTAGCTGGGGTTATATATCTATATCCCTGATTGCTTCTTGTGTGACCTTGGGCAAGTGACTTAACCTTCCAGTTTCCTAGGCCATAAAATGGGGATTAAAAAAAAAAAGAGTCAACTTCTCAGAATGCCTCATGGGGTTCCTGAGCAGCTTTGAACAAAGACTGCATCATCTTAACCATTCTGGGCAGGGTTAGATCCCCAAAAAGATCAGACCTGTGTATAGCAGCCCTACTGCTCTTTTCAAAGAATAAAATACAGAAGTTGCAGTCTCTGGGGAGGCAAAGGAAGGATCTTGTCTCTAGCTGTTTTTCTGTTTTCTCAGAACAGGAAAGCCAGGGATGAATGGGTGAAGTAACAGGATCCAGAGGCCAGGGCACTATATACAGTGAGTTCACACAGTATTGGCAAAAAAGAAATCTTGGCAATAGACAAGTACTCTCCAGGCAGTCCCCCTTAGCAGAGAGACGAAGACAGAAGGGACTAGGAGAAACTGACTAGGCCCAGTGATCTGGGGAGCATGGGTTGGGAGGCACAAGGAATCATAGCTTCTTTCCTTTGAGACAGGTACTTCTAGCCACATGCAGACTTCACATGCGATTGCATGCCTGTGAAAGTAGAGCTTACCTTGTCTGCTGCACGTGGGTGTGCACCTGCGATTCGCATCAGTAAAAGGTGGCCCCAGCCCAGGTACTGAGTCAGCTTTGTGTTGAGAAGTGATAGGCCAGCAGGCAAAAGGAAGTCAAGCTTTAACAGAGGAATCTTGGGCACCCCAACATTGGACTGGCTCCAGGAATACCCTGAAGATTATGAGGAACTCAGAAACATAGAGTTGCAGACCCAATCTATATTCCCTTTTCTAGTGCCTGAGAACTATCAAATGGTCTGTAAAGAAGAAACTTAATTTTTTTTTATTTGTTCTTTTTAGTTATACATGACAGTAGAATGTATTTTGACTATTATACATACATAGAAGAAGAGACTTCTAATGCTTTTATTTTTATTTCACTTTAGAAAAATTGAAGAAGCAGTTTTTTACACCCAAAGTTCTTCAGGACTACAGAAAACTCAAGAACACAGCCGAGCAGTTCTTGTCCTGGAGTGGCTACTCTGAAGTGAACCTCAGCAAACTCTTCGCCGATTGTGCTGTGAAGTCCTAAGGGAATCCACAAGTGAATGAGGAGGGCTAGTTGCAAATCCCAGCTTCCTGAGCACCTCTACTCTGGCCCTAACTGCTTCTCCAATATCTTGCTTTTCCCTTAAGGACTGCATCTCATGTTCACGTGGGATGTGAACTAGAAGGAGGGATTGCAAAAATATTTCATCTGTCATGCATCAAAGAAGATCCAGTCTTCATGTTATGATATACCACTGAGCTCTTCCCCATGTCCCTAAAGACCTAACATATTGGGAACTGGGTTTCTAGGAGAGGGAAATTGCTATTTTAATTGAAAGTGGCGGGCTGGGGATGTGGCTCAAGCGGTAGCGCGCTTGCCTGGCATGCGTGCGGCCTGGGTTCGATCCTCAGCACCACATACAAACAAAGATGTTATATCCGCCGAAAACTAAAAAATAAATATTAAAATTAAAAAAAAAAAAAAAAAGAAAGTGGCTGAGATGTAAGTGACCCTGGACTTTGCCCCAGGGCTGTAGTAGAGGTGTTCCCCAAAGAGAGGATTCTGCAGCCCAGCAGGAGCAGTAGTAACATTTTGCCTTTTCACATGCCAATTAAACACAGTCTAAATTCAGATGATTCCTCAGCCACTTGCTATAGAAGTGGCTGTCTTTTTTAGTCTTGTCTTTCAGATAGGTAGTGGATGGCAGGGGAGATATAGAATCCTTTGCACTCAAAAATAAACAGAATGGACTCTATTGAATTGCTCCAAAATCCAACACACACACACACACACTGAACAGGTGTTTTACATTTACACACACACACACTTAAATAGAAAGTTTAGGTAAAAGTTTATACAACAGGAAAGCACATTTAAAATAATGTAGGACATCAAAGGGCTGGTGATGTAGCCCAGTGGTAGAGTGCACTTGCCTAACACGCATGAGACCCTGAGTTCTGTCTTTAGCAGTGCAAAAAGAAAGTGTAGCATTTGGCAAAGTGGGAGAATGGTTAATTGGCCCTGGTGCTTGCTATTTTTCCTCATTTTCTTCAGAATGGTGCCTGCTTTGCGGCAGCAAAAAGTATTTCAATATGTCAATCTTTCTTACATTATTGGTAAGATTGTACTAACAAAATATATTTCCCCTTGTATAACTATGCTGTGTTTTAAAAATGTTTACCTATGTGTTTTTATAAAGGAGAGTATGCTGTACTTTATACTTAAGAATAAAGTTTTTCTAAAGGGAAAGCCGTTGCAATGAATTCTTATTGGGCACAAACAATTGACTACAGGGACAGCAAGGAATACTGTTTGACTGAAGGCTACCCCCTTCCCAAACCTCAACCCACTTTTTTTCATTGCAACTGAGATTAGAACCCAGCTCATAGATTATTGCAAATGGCAAGGCTTTTGAATGTTCTGAATTTTAGAATTCAGGAAAATTTCTGTGGACTTTGGATCCTTTAAGAGATAAGATGCAAGCTCTGGGAGTATAGCTCAGTGGTAGAGTGCTTGCCTAGCATGTGGGTTCCATCCCCAGCACACACACACAAAAAAGTGAAGTATGGGGCCTGGTGTTATAATAGCTCAGGGTAGAGCAGTGCTTAGCATGCACAAGGCCCTGGTTTAATCCCCAGCATCAAAGAGAGACAGACATAAGGTATGGTTTCTAATGTGACTTTTTGGACTTGTACAACCAAAGGGAGTTAAGCCAGGAGCTCCATGGTGTCTCTTGAAAAACAAAGCTCATTTGTTTTCTCCCTGGGAGAAGGGCACCAAACATAAAGGTCCCCTAGGGAAGGAATACTTGTTAAGTAGTGGAGATGAAGCCACCTTTCAATCTGGCTTTGCCTTCTCTTTTTGCTCCCTCCCTTCTCCCTTCAGTCTCTTACCTATCTCCTGTCCTCTTGCTCTTACACTCAAGTTCAAAGTAGAAATACTTTGGGATTAGGTTCCTGGTGATTAATTAATTGGTTCTAAAAGCTCTGCAGTCAGTTACAAGTTGGAGGAAACTAAGGGATTGATGTGATTTTATTGCTCCTTTGGTCAATTCTGATAATTGCTATTATATAAATTTATAGAGATAGTTCTCCAGTGAGTGCTTCTAGAGCCACTCCCCCACTCGCTTTCTAAAGAGAAGGCATATTTTCCTTAATTTCTGAGTCCTGGGATTATATTGATAATAAGAATTATCCTGAACTTGGTCATCCAAAAACTCCAAAAGACTTAAATAATGCCTCACTAGTTTATTTCTTGTCACTGCCTCTAGATTGTAATCACTATGAGGGCAGGGACCACTTATATAGAAGATCTATAGAAAATCAGACATTTCTAAGTACAGTCACCAAAAAGAGGTACCTCAGGATTCCAGAACTTTATGGAAACTGCAACTTGAAGAATTACAATGGATCTCTGTTGGAAGATTGGAATATCACCTACTCGCTTTTCTCTGAGAAAGGTCACTACTCCTTCCTTTGCCTTGATTGATAGCATACTGGGTAGAATTGGTGCAGATGTGCTGCCCACTGCTTTTAAGGGGAGAAAGCTGCCTACCCATCTTTCTCCATGGGGCTCTCTGGCATAGGTCTTAAATGCTAAAAGAGAATGAATGGAATAAGCTAGATTCATGCTACCCAGGGGTCTGGATTGTCTAAAAGGGGCAGCAGTAATACGAAGAGGGACAGGACCCAGAGCAGCCACGTGGTGCAGTTTTTAAGAGAAGCCAAGAACCTGAATATTCCATAAAGTTTCTTTATTCCTAAACCTTCGCAACTGATATTTTAGAAGAAAATTTGAAACATTGTGTGGGCCAGACCTCTGGGTTAAAATCTATCTGAGCCAGTTGGGAAATGGTACTCTAAAAGGACCCTGCTGTGCTTAGAGCCCCATGCCCCTGAAAAGGACACCTGTTCTATTTAATTTAATTTAGGAACTAGGATCTAACCTACAACAGATCCTTGTACATCAGCTTGTCTTGAGCACAGTTTACTAACCCTCAACTCTCCTTCATATGAAGGTAGATAGAAGAGGCGGCCAGAAGTTGAAAATCGTGTAAAATTTTAATTTGCCTGAAAAATAGATGGAGTTAATTTTAAGGCTTGCACAGGATGTGGGGGCTAATCAAAGTTTGCAGATTAGAGTTCAGATGCTAAAAGGGAATGAATTCACTGTCCTTCACCACCACCCCTTTCTCCAACCCTTGCCACCTCTTAAAGCCAACACACACACACACCTTGAGACACATTTTTTTTCAAACATCATTGAAAGTGAGTTTGGCAGAAGATGCAAAAACAAGAAAACTCCAAAAACAGATTTCCCTATCTTTGTCAGGGTTTTATGAAAAACATTAAGCCTCAGACCCTCTTGTCAGGATCCTTGGCCCCTCAATTCCACGCTATTTGATGCTGCCATTCCAAATTTGAAGCTGCATTTTCCTCTCTTTTCTCTCTCCTTCTCCCTTTCCCTCATGTCTGTCTGTCTGTCTCTCTTTCTCTCTCTCCCCTCACCTAAATATTTCTTAATTGAACGGTTTGTGGTAGAGCTTCCTTATAGCAGTTTAATAGATTAACTCATCTGAGCCAGCCTCAAATTTCAGATTAAAATTCCTTCATCCCGAAGGCAGCATTATCAGGTTGTTGGAGGCTGTTTTCAAACCTTGGTTTTGAATAGCAGCGGCTCTGCATTAATTTAACCACTAAGCTAATAAGTAGGTTTCGTTTTGTTATGCTAAGCTTTATTGCTTTTCTTTTGATCAGAATGGTGTTGTTGAGCAAAGCAGCAGACAAGGCATTCTTTGATGAGGGAATTAGCGCTCCATTCTTCCTCTATTATTCATAGCGCAGTGGAATATGTAAGTACCTGAGGGTGTCAAAGGAGCGCAGGTTCTATTGCAAAGTGCTCGCCTTGTTTCTCTCAATAGCTGACTATGAGATGATAAACCGCTTAATACACTGTGCTAATTGGATGAGAGCAAAAAGAGATGGGAATTAAGGCGAGGCAAAAGGAGAAAGTGCAACCAGCCTTCAATTCACTCTTTCACCACTTTAACAGCACCAAAGGAGGCACAAGCTTTCTATAAGCAGACTAGAGGTTTTGTGCAGAGATAAAATGAACGTGTTAGTGGATTCAAGTAATACACTAATTATTGCACAGTATAAATACCACTACTGGTTTTATAACAGGGAGGTAAACTTCTTTTGAGAGGGTTATAGGATTGCTTGGCAGTGGTGTAGAACCTAATAAGGGCCCAGAGTAATAACCCCCTGGATTAACAAAATTGCTGCTTGTAGAAGTATGATTCAGGCTTTTACGAAGATTTCCGGAGAATGAATAAAAATGACTGAATGACATTTCTTAATGTATAACTGGTAATCGCTCCCTTTTCTTTAAAGGAAAAAAATGTATACTTCAAACTGGACCGTTAATAACGTCCAGGGACAACACTACTTTTTCCTTTGAAAAATGCTTTTTCCCCCCTGTCAGGTAGCGGGTTTTCTTTTCCCCCGCCCCCCAGCCAGGCTGCCACTGTCAATTAAATATGCAGTTGCTCTGGGGAACTCTGTGTTCCAAAATACCATTTTAGGCTCCATTTAAGACCCCCTTCATTCAGACACACTCACTTTTGTGTATACACATACACACATGCTCATGTACATTTTTTTTTCCCTCTAAAAGCAAGTTAGGCTAACCCATGTATAATTTCCTCTCCTCCAACATCAGCCCTTTTTTTTCTATCCTAGAAAGATCTCCACACTCAAAACCATACTAAACAGAGAACTACAGGTGCTTTGACTCTTGGTATTATAAATCAAATGCAACAATAATGAATGTTTGCCCCAATCAGGAGGGACAGTAACAAGAAAGGGGAATTGATTAGGGCCCAATCCCAGTAACTTTAGGTTAAGACTGAGTTTCCCTTCAACAATCACTCATCCTAATTCATCCTCTTGCTAACTTCCTCACCACACACTTAAGATGTCTGCCCTCACCACTGCCCACAGCCTAGACCATGGGTGACTGAAGAACACTTTTGCTAATATGCCAAATGCCTCCTCCCGATCTGGTTAACCTGTGTGAAAATGTAGCAAATTAACTTACCCTTTTTCCTCAATCTTCCCACAGAGGCCCCAATAGGGCTTCCAATCACCCTTCCCCCCAAAATACTGTGGGGGTGGCAATGGGAAAGCAGGTGTTGGGCCATTCTGCCCTGGGCATGATAGGAGACAGTCATGCCATGAACTGGACTCTCCTGGACACCCCAGGGCTCCACATGTCCTCCTCCATGGTGGAAGAGGTTTGCTTAAGGTTGGGGGTGGGGTCAGCCGCTCCCAGCATTGTGACTGAGTTCCCAGATATTGGGGCCAAATTGGGTTGCCATTCATTAATAATGCTCACAATAAGATTAAATCATTCTGGAAAATCTCATAAAATCCCCCTAAGTACGCTCCAGTGGCTCTTTCCAATCCCCATCATTCAGCACTTGGGGAGGTTTGGAAGGAGAAGAAAATTGGTTTCTTTGCTTTTAATGCTGCTTTGAAAAGATACTCAGAGTTTGTCATGCGTGACATGTCACATGTTTAATGTGGACTTGCTGGAAGTCAGGGGGTCTTTAGCGTGTGATATTTATGGGGAATATTAAGTGCAGAATGAGGTCCCTCCAGCTGGGGAAAGTTGAAAGAATAGGAGGCCCAGGACCCAGCTTGTTTTCGGCATCAGAATGACATAGGATTAAGAGTTTGTAAAACAAGGCGAGGGGTTCTCATTGGCCAGTAATAAATGTAATCCTTGGAGGTAATTTCACGCAATTTGCTTCTGCTCCATGGAAGGGTCAAATGAGAAAAAATGACTTAAAAAAGGGTTCATTAACAGGAAGAATGGTACTGTTTCTCGTATACCATCCAACTGGCAGCCTGGAAGGGAAAAAAGAAGCCTTACTAAACAAAAAGCCGAAATCGACGGAAAATTGATATCGACCACCAATAAATAAATAAATAACTCCCTCCTTTCCTCAGGCGTCTCTGGCACTCGGCTATCTCCTCCACAGCCGCCCTGTCCACCCTAGGGAAGCAGCTTGCCCTAGGGCAGAGTCTGTGGAATCTGAGGGTCTGAGACTTTCAGGCCTGGAGGAATGCCCTAGAAAGTTTCCACCCAGCCTTACTAAACCTGGGAAAGGAGTGTGAGGTGGAGTGTAGATAGAGGCCCCTTCCCATGCCCCAGGTCGGCCACCTGCCTGTGAGTACCTCCCTGGCGAGTCCCCAGCTAGGCCATCATAGAGGGGACCCACCCGAAAGCCAAAGTCCCAGAAAGAGTTTCAGGCGGGCGAGCTGGGCCCAACACTCCCCAAGCAGAGCCTCCAGACGTCTGGACCAGTTGGCCTTACCGACTATGCGCGGGCCAGAGCACCACAGCTGCTGGGCCTGCTGGTCACCTCCCCAAAGGGCCATTGACCCCTGCCCGACCCTGCACCTTCCCCTCGGCCTGTACACTCGCACCCCAAGCCGCCACTGGACCCTGCCCGCCTCCTTCCAGGGCGCACGAGGAGTCGGACCGGCCCTGGCCACGAGACACGCCCGCGCCCCCCGACTGGCCCGCGGCGTGGCGGGGCGGCTGGCCCCAACTACTCCGCGAACCGCGGTAGTCACGCCGCGGCAGCCCCCCCCCACCGCCTGCCCCTCTCCCCAAAGGTCCGGCGCGCTAATTACTGCAAATTGAAACTAATTAAGCTTCTCTTCCCTTTCCCATCACCCTGGGAGCATTGGCGAGACCCAGCCCCCGCGGGCGGGCTTCCACCGAGCGGTCACCCGAAGGGGCGCTGCAAGGGCCCGGGGGAGGGGGAAGCTATGGTTCCCGCCACGGGGAGGAGTGCGCCGAGCCGGTTAAGGATCGCAAATCTGTTTGGGTCTCCTCACGAAACCAGAGTTGTTTGGATTTTTAAAAATGTATACATTTCCCAATGCCTGGATAAGTGATGTAATGACATTTGTCGAGTTAAGATCTGCCACTTGGATACCCCTCGCTGCCTTTCCATCATCTTTCTTGCGTGAGCTCTCTCTCCTCTCTTCTTTCTCTCTCTCTCCCTCTCTCCCTCTCCCTCTCTCTCTTTCTCTCTCTCTCTCCCCCTCTCTCCTCACTCTCTTTCGCTTACTCTCTTTTCTCCCTCCCCTCCCTCCCTCCCTCCTCCCAGTGAGTGTACCGTGGAGCCCGCCCCCTCGGAAGCCAGCGCCTTGGCTTCTAGCTCTCGCCATTACCTGTCGTCTCTCTCGGACTCCGCACTTCTTTGCTACGTGGCACTTTTCACGAACAGCTTCCTTAGCCTTCCGATCCAAGACTCTCGCTCGCCTCAAATTTCTGACACCACCGACAACAACGCCTACATAACCCCCACCTACCATAGAACCCACCCCACCTCCATAGCCTAGGACCCCAAGTTCCAGCTGTGACACGACCAGGGAAGTTGAGATGCGCGTGAAAGCACAGCGGCTGCGTCCTTAACCTTTGTAGGAAACCCGATCCCTTGGAGGACTGAATTCAAACCAGGGGCCTCTGCCAGGAAAATGCTTGTGCAGATAAATCCAGGAGGTGCCTGGGCGCCGGAACCCACCCCTGGCCCCCATCAAGGGCCCTTCTACTGTCCCCTCATCGCCTACATAGAACATTCACACTTCCTTTTGTTAAACATATATTTTTTTTTTATTTTGAGCGTGACACTTCTCCACTAGATAGCAAGGAAAAGTGGTAACAATTACACATTACACAAAAGTACTGTACCATTGCCTTTATCTTGAAGGTTTCGGAAGCCTCTACAGTTAATAAGTTAAATAAAGAGCTTGAGTACATAAATATTTGTCTAGGAACCCTACCGTATCTACAACACAGTAAGAATCTACAGGAGGACAAACTTTTACCATACCACGCTGAGTGCAATTGCGTTATAACATTTCAAATATACAAAGCTCTGTTCTTTTTTTTTTTTAATAACAATGGTATGTACAGAATCAATAATCACAGTTTGGTGACTTCAACAGTCCATATTCTAGCAGAGTATTTCCCTTTGGTTTGATATAAAAACCTTGGTTGGTGTATGATAAAGAAGAGAACAAGAACAAGACGCCCCTTTCCTTTAAGTGCACTGTTAACTATCTTACAGACTCGCATTCGCTTCCCTGGCCCTGGCTTCACGCCGGGCCCGCGCTGGGGAGATGAACTTAGAGCGCAAAAATGCTATTAAAAAAAAAAAAAAAGCTAAGTGGGGTGTCAGGAGAAGAGATTGGGCTTTTTAACATTTTAACTTCAATACCAGGCGTCTTGGGGAGAAAACTTCCCCGATATTTTCAGCAAAGAATGGGAGAGAATGGACGTTCGAGTTGGAGCGAGGTTGGCAGTGGCAGGGGCAGGGGCGGGGGCGGGGGCGGGTGGAGAGCCAGCCGAGGAGGTGCCACGTCCGTAAGCGCCGAGGGCTGCCTTGCCCGCGTCCAGGCTGCTGCGAAGGCGGCTGCGCTCTCTCAGTGCCGTCTCGGGAGTGTGCTGGTCCTCTGTTTCCATTTGGTCTTGAGTGGTGCTGAGTGAGGTGACCTTTCGGGACGCGCCTGGAGGCGCGAGGGTGGAAGGCAGCCTTTAGCACACCTCCTTGCCCGTGCTGGTGCCCGGCAGGATGTTGAGCTGCGTGAGCTGCGCCGCGTGCTCCTTGGCCTTGAGCCTCAGAGCCGCTATGCTAGAGGCGCGTCTGTCTGCGGCTGCAGTGGCCGGATCAGCCAGCGCACCCGATGCCACCGCGCCCTCCACCGCGGGTGTGGGCTGTCGCAGGAGCGCGGCCGCAGTCGACGCGCTGGTCAGGGGGGCCATGGTGGAAAAGAGCCTGCAGGGAGAGCAAACAGCGCGGTCATGGCCTCGGGAGCTGAGTGCAGTGCCTGGGAAGGCTTTTCCCGCAGCCTCTCACCAGCGGAGCAGAGGGGCGCTGAAGGCGCAGAGGGGCGCAGCCCCAGGGGTGCCGCAACTCAGGCCCCAGGTGGGCCGCGAGCTGAGGAGTAGCAGGTGGCACGGGTGGAAGTTGGAGCACACTGGGAGGCCTTTACCGGAGCAGAGACTCAACCGGGAAAGGAAAAA